GGTGTGTAAAAAAAATTTTGCATATAATATAATCAAATTGCCTCCTAATAGCATACTATATAGATAGCTGAAGAAGAGGCAGGAGCATAAGCTCTTAGGTGATGTGGATGCCCTTATCAAAAAAAATAACAGAAATATAGGCATAGTCTCTTTAGAGCGAAGCGAATATTTCTGTTATATTTTTTTGACCTATATTGCTATTCTATTTTAGTATGCTATTAAAGGAGGTAAATAGATTCACCTTTGGGTGACTTTTTTGTTACCCTATTTTATGTTTTCTTACCTATCTGAAGCCTTGTTAACCTTAAATTGCTATGGGTAAACTAAGGTATGAAAAAAGACAGATTGAGTACATGCAGTGTAATCAGTAATTGGGCCTTGTGATTTCGTCACTCGAAGCTCTGACTTTGAGCAATTATTGCAAAGAGTCAGTTCCCGAAGCCTATTAATATATTGGGTTATATAGCAACACTAGCATGTTTTCTGCAAAGACCGGGTTCAGAGCTAGTCAGCTTGCTACAAACCTTACAGGGAAGACGCTTGACCTTGCTTTCCTGCTTCTTCGGCTCTGTTCGCTAACAGCTTTAGAAGCAATTCATCGATTTTCATTCGAATAAAAGTATCTCACCTCTAAGTGTAAAAAAAAAATCAGATAGCATAATGTAAAAAAAAAATGGTTAGCAAGATGTAAATAAAAAATTATCAGCCAAAATAATCTAGCTTTACTAATCTCCAAAGAGGTTAATATCCATATTCTCACCATCCAAATCAATCAGAGCTTTAGAAATATTACTAGAGGTAATGATTCTAGATTAAAGGATCATAATCTCATTACCAGCTTGAAAATCGGAGCTTTATCTCTAGTATTTTTTGATTCTTTGCTCATAATTGGAGCAATAGTGCTGGTCACCTGTAGTGCTTCAATCTGTAGACCCTGCTCTCCTGCTTCTTCAGTTTTGTTTGCTAACAGCTCTAGAAGTAATTCATCAATTTTCATCCAGATTAAATCATCAGCATTAGCTTTATTCTGAAGCCTATTAAAATATTGGGTCACATAATAGGTACCAGAATGCTTTCTAAAAAGACCAGATTCAGAGCTAGTCGGCTTACTGCAAACCTTACAAGGAATGTGAGGTTTAGCTTTCCAATGTTCAAAGCAATCTTCTGGCCAATGGCAGGTTTGCCCACAAACCCATCTAGTTCTGAGTAAATAGTTGCAAAAATATTCGCCTCACATAGTAATAAGAAATAAATATTTTATTTTAAACTAAAGTTTTTGCTATATTAATACAAACAACATTCAATACTTATACAAAATGGTTAACTATAAAGATATCGAATCAGCATTAGTTAAGGTAATCAAAGTGGCATATAGTTAAGGCAAAAAAAAATATGACAAAATGGGATTAGTATATGTGGGTTATTTGAAAACATTGCAATGTAAAAGAGACTCAGATGATCATTGCAGATATATATCAAAGCAACGAGCTCCAAATGAGGAAGCCTATAATGAAAAAATGGCAGATTTCAAAGACTGGTATAATGAAGAAGTGTATCAAAGTCTTGAAAAATTATACAAATTATATCTCTTATTTGCAAGCCAAGAAGAAGTTATACAAAAAAGATCTATAGAAGAAGTAAATGAAATACTTAAACTCCATGAATTAGAAATTTAATTCGTGAGTACCCATTGTGGTGGTAATTTTGTATCAGAACCTATGATTTGAAGCTTCTCTCTTACAAAAGATCTTTTCGGACCATTGCTTTCATCATCTATTAGCCAGTACAAGACTGGCTGATTTTTTTGCACTAGTGATTCTTTAATATAATAAACTTGAGGAGACCAATTCATATCAGTTGCATGTTTTCTTCCTCTCTCTAGTTCGCCAGGATTAAGAAAATATCTTACTAAGGTATTAGAGAATAATTTAGGTTCATCAAATCTAATTGGTTCTTTTCATGGCTTAGAAGCTTTAGCAAAAATATGTTTTTTTTTTCAAGCTTCAGCAGGAGAAATACCCAGAAGTCGAGTTACAGAATTGTCAAGCTTTACAAAAAAAATTGGAAGATTTTTTACCCAAGCTCGACAGCGTTCAGTAGGAGGTAATCTCATTTCAACACTATCTTGAATAAAGAATGCCCACTCTTGTAGTGTATGATTAAATCTCTCAACAATACCCATAGACTCTTTAGAATTTGCTATTTGAATTTGAATACCATGTTTATTCATTAGTTCTATAACATTACTTTGAAACTCGACACCTTTATCTATCATTAAAACTTTAACTTTAGACCAGATAATTAGGCATATTCAAGAATTAAAAAGTTTTACAAATCCTTTAGCTACACTAGCAGAATCACATTTAGTTAAAGGATATGTCCATTTAGTACGAGTAGCAACATCTACACAATTAAGTGCAAATTTATAAGTTTTATTTCTAATTTGATCATAAGGCATATAGCATAAATCAGCTTGAATAACTTCCATAGGTATGGTAATATTATTAAAAGATGCTTGTGGGATAAACTTTGAACGAGGCTTATGAATCTGATGCAATGCCTGCTTATTTAGCCAATTTTTAATCTCTGTAAAGAGGAAATCATACCCAGCATTCTTACAAGCATCTCGCATTTTTTCAGCAGTTCGATAGTAACCTTCAGGACGATAATATAACCTTTGTAATGCCAAATTTCAATCTTTAACTTTTTTACTCTTAGCAATTTCTTGATCAAGTTCATAGGCTTTTTGTTGATCAATATAAATCAAAGGTTTTTCCATTATACTATAGTAAAAAAACATGGAGGAATTACAGCAAAATAATCAAGAACTCCATGAAGTAGTATCTCAATTAGCAGAATCAAATAGGAATTTCGAACAATGTTTATATACTTTAGAAAGAGTTATTGGAATACAGGAAAAGAGAATAAGATTTCTTGAAGAAGAGTTAAATAACATGATCGAAGTTTCTAAAGAAGAGAAAGAGGAGTTAAAAAAAGAAATTTCAAAACTAAAAAGAATCGTCCACCAACTCGAGGAAGAAAATAAAAAGAAAGATAAAGAAATTTCGAATAAGAATGAGTTAATAACTGAATTCGATGAACGAGAGACAAAATTAAAAAACAAAATACAGGAGATATTCAAATCTGCAGGCAATACCCCCAAAGCACAAGATAATACAACCAGATTAGTAAATAAGAATGAATGGCTTAAACGAGAAATAAATACAGTAAGAACTAATCAAATGAATAGGATTAACAAAATAACTCAACAAAAAAGCCATATTACGGACCTGCTTTGTTAAAATTTTGCATTATCCTTATTAAGATATAAAGATAGATTGGAGCTTATAAATACCAAAGAGGCTTTGCAAAATGCAGAAGCACAGAACTTTAATGAAAATGAATCCAACTCTGATGAGTATTCTTTAGATATTTATAATTTTGATCAAAATTTAGATATGGGTACAATAACCGAATTAGCCGATGCTATAGACTGCTCCCTAGATGATACAACAATATATCCAACTATTTTAAAAAATCAAATTAAGAAGATCAATCTGACAAAAATATGCTAACCTGCAACAGGATTTAGTAAACGAACGATAGAATCATGATATATACAGGCAGGAGCGAGACCAGGCATTGCTTGAACTTCTTCAGTTACGGACCAATGCTCAGAATCAAGTAAACAGAATAATAAATCCCTTAAATTGTAACACAGGCAAATTTGCCTGTGTTTTTATTAAAAAGTTTAATTTTTTTAATAAAAACTTATAT